GTCATCACACCACAGCACTACTGCCTGGGCGACAGTGAGACCCTGTCTCAAAAAAACAAAAAAACAAAACAAAAAGTACCTCTGAAAATTATTTTAAATATTGAGTTGAGCAAAAATGCTCATGTTAAACATTTTGGCTGTTTTTCCTAAAATGTTTTATACAGAGAGCTAAAAATCAATGTATATAGAAAGTATTCACCATTGAGGAGATACTAAATAAAAAAACTTGACCATCTTCACACTGAATACTAGGCAAGAAAGATGAGTACCATGGAAAAAAATGCTAGTTTTGTATTCGGATCTGGGCTCAAACCTTAGCTCTGCTATTATAGCTCTGTAACTGTAACATATTCTTTAAGCTTGTTTTGTCATGTTACATGGTGATAAAGAAAAATACTTGTTACAGGGTTGTTACAGGGTTGTAGTAAGGATAAAACAAAGTGAAAACCTCTAGCACAGTTCCTGACTCTGCACTTTTTCTCAATGTTTGCTAAGTTACTCTGAAAACATTTTAAACATTGTAATTTTCAGATAATTAATTACGTGTATGTTGAGCAAAAGTGAATACTTTTCTTATACAATTAACTTCCCGGCTGGGCCGGTGCTGTAGCTCATACCTATAATCCCAGCACTTTGGGAGGCTGAGGTGGGTGGATCACTTGAGGTCAGGAGTTCGAGACCAGCCTGACCAACATGGTGAAACCCTGTCTCTCCTAAAAATAACAAAATTAGCTGAGTGTGGTAGTGGGTGCCTGTAATCCCAGCTACTCTGTAGGCTGAGGCAGGAGAATCACTTGAATCTGGGAGGCGGAGGTTGCAGGGAGCCGAGATAGCACCATTACAGTCCAGCCTGGGCAACAAGAGGGAAATCCTATCTCAAATAAATAAACAACTCCCCCATTATTCAGGTGTTGTAAATTATGTAAGGTATCTTTCATGGCGTGTCTTTGAAGGAATTATGTCTTTTTAGAGGAAAGTGACATGTAATTTTAAGAAGTATAGATCCAAGGTTAATAAACTCACACTTCACACACACACACAAACTACAGAAGAGAATGAGCCAGTCTCATCTACAACCATATTAAACTTGTGTCTTCGTGTGCACATTTGATAACAAATTTTGAATTACCTTGAATTTTCAAGTTTCTAGTTTTTCTCTTTAGCTGAGGACTTCTTGAAACTAACTGTTTTGGAGGAGAGAATATTGATTTTTAGAATCCAGGCATGGCCCAAACAATTCTCTCTGAATAGAAAGCAAACTGGAATCCTGGCAAAGCAGTTAATTCTCAACATTACTTGTAAACATGACAAACAATAAAATAAATTTTATAACAACTTGTAAGAGCCTATGTTTGCACATCGAAATTTTCAATGGTAAGGTTCCTTACAATCTCAAGTGTTAAAAGACAAGGTATCAAGCACACTTAGGTTACAAGGAGAAGCAAAAAGATTGATTTGAGCAACCTGGATCACTTTCAGTAAGGGAGGAGGATCTCTGGAGAATGTAACAAAGCTGAATTTCAAGAAATCTGGTTTCTAGTTTGGGCAAGTCAGTAAATCTGAGCTTTCTTTCTCATCCCTTAGAAGTAACGGCATTTTCCTTCCTTCCTCACAAAGCTGACTCATGAAAGTACTTTAAAGTTAAAAATGTTATACACTATGTTCTTTAATCAGCACTAATAACATTAATATTGATCGGGCAGAAGGTACGGTGATCATGCGGGTGGGGACCAGCAGAACTGGGAGTTGGGAGATCCAGGTTCTCGGCTCAACATTTGCACCTGCTAGTTCGTGATGCAAGGCACCTCACTTATTCAGGTCCCCATTAAACTAGGTTTAATAAAGTGAGTTTGCCTAAACCTCTTCCTAGCTCCAAGACTAATTTTAAGGTATTAATTTGAATCCAAGGTCTAAAATATTTGAGCTCTCATTTAGAAGTCAGCCACTGCAAAGGGTAAAGACAGCAATCTTGTATGAACAAAGTTAAACATAATGTGCTAGACAGAGGTCTATGCTAAGCCATGCAGTAGCCAAAAAGTCCACCACACCACCCTTCATTTGGAAACTGATGTTAAGGTGCCACTGGTACACTTCCAAATGCTCTTAAAATGTTTAGGTTCATATTAAAATAAAAATGGATATTGTAAAATGAGAACCAGAAAAGCTCCAAAATTATACACAGGCCTAAGGGCAAAAATACCCCAAAAGACTACACAGTGACAATATTTTCCAACTTTTGCTTTTTTGTTTTTAAAACAAAGCTGATGATTCTGAAATCAGGTCAAGTCTATCACTTTTTTTGTTGATGTTAAATGCACTAACTCAGATTCTTCAATTATACTTTGAAACAACAGCATTTCCCTAAGTCAGGACTTTTTTATTGCAAAATTTAACAAACCACCAAACTCAAGTTTAATTATTTCTGCTTTATTATTGGTCATGAATAAAGACTTCTTTTAAAAAATAATTACAAAGAGAACTTATGACTAAAATATACTCGGTAACCAACGTGCTCTGAAATTAATAATTTGAAAATGGCAAAACAAAAACAAAAACAAAAACAAAAAACCGGCCCACACATATTAACTTCACTCTTCAATTAGGGGCAATAAACAAGGTCAAAATTAGTTTAAACAACATACTGAGTAAGAAAAAAGTTGTGAAGTCCCAATGCCTCCAAAAAACTGATAGAATGTGCTTAATATATATATCCCCACATGGTAACATGAAAAATCCAAGTTTTCCAGTAAAAATGTTCTGTTCATGTTCCAACACCTAAATCTGGGAAAACAAATTCAGGCAGATGAGATAAGAATGTCACCATAATAAAATAAAGTCATCAAAACTTAGTGAATTAAAGTTTAAAAGGTAGAGAAAAATAACCTAATTTGACCACACAGTAATTACTTCCAGAAGACAAAAGATCCAATTCAGGTAAAATAAATCTTTATTTTATTGTATATTTTACCTGATCCTAAAGAAAATATTCTACGTGAGTTGATGAGATACATCGGTCAAGTTTTATGCCAAGAAATTATGCATACTATAACTCTGAAAGAGCTATCTAGACTCCTTACCAAAAGGCCAGCATAACTTTCAGAGTAGAGATCGTGAGTTACCACAGATGCTGATGGAAACAGAGCTAACAGCAGCTCTTTCTCCTCATTCCCACCCCGTGTGTAGAAGTATGCAGTCCCATGCCACCACCAGTTGGAGGATGATCTAGTCTGGAGACAGAACGGTGTAGAACAAAACCCTTTCCACGGTCCCAAACCTCTCTTTAGAACTCTAATTAAAGATACTTCCGTTTCTCACACAACTTGGAATGAAGAGGAAGCAACAACTGTTAAAAACATTTAAAAACTAAGCCTTTATCTATTTATTTAGAAAACACACTATGCAAAGAAGCCAATTCCTTACATTAAAAATATTTATTTGCAACAGCTCTCCTTTTCAAGGCCTCAACAGATTAGACTAAACCACACCCCTCCATAAATGGCACATTCCATACAATAGCCTGGAGGATGGCATAGGACGATTCCACCGACCGCTGGGGGAATAGCAAACTTGTTGAAATTCCGAGAATGGAGTCTGATGGTTACCCGAACCTAGCCCTTTTATTACTAAAGTCACTCGGGGACAAGAGGGTTACAAAAATATCCCGAGACGCGTACGCGGGTGAGAGTGGAACGAGAACCACACGGGATTTGGGCTGTGCTGTTAACCCGCACCTCCCTGAGTACGGACATTTCCCCGAGGAAGGACATTTCTAGTCGGAGAGAAAGAGCGAACTTTGGGGTTAACTCTCTCAAAACTCCGAGGTGGGGAGAGAGGCAGCAGCCCATTATTTTCCAGGATCCAGTCCCGAACTCTCACTTCTGCCCGGGGGGAAAAAAACGGGTCCCGCCCACGCTCGGCCCAATCCGGGAGGCGGGGCCTGCAGCGACCCCGAAGGACAGACGCGGGGCCGGTTGGGTGTGCTGCCCCTCCCCCTTTGCCTGGAACACCCCCGTCCGCTAGAGAAAAAGGGCTCAGGGCCCCCACCCCCGCGCCAGTCGCGGGGGGAAGGGGCAATACGGGTGCCTCCGCCCCTCCTCGCTGAAGGTGGGGAGTGGAGCTCGAGTCCGCCCGCCTCCCAGCGCTGGCTCCAAGGGGACGGCCCCGAGGAGGTGGGGCCTCTTGGGGGCGCTGACTTCACACCCCTCCCCCTCCGCGCTGAAGGTGGGGAGTGGAGCTCGAGTCCGCCCG